ATTTTTCACTACAATAAATAGCATTGCAATGGACATTCTTGTAGCTAAATATTGACTTACATCCTTAATTTTTCATGAAGTGGTTCTAAGGATGTAGTCAGCTTTTATACTAGAAAAATACTTTTGATGTCTGGAGCGTGGATGTGGAAGGGGATTAGAAGAGGCCGGGAGGGAATCAGCTAAGAGGCTGGGTCCTATCTCTAGTGAGCACTTGATGGGGCTGCGTCCAGGGCAGAGGCCTTGGAAACTGCAGGGCAGACAGGAGAAGGAAAGGGAAGGGAGGCAAAGGGAAGGGAAAATTCACACTAGCATCTAGTATACCGGGAATTGTGCTGGGCACTTCACATGTCACTTCAGTTACTGCTCAGAACAACCCAGACTGATGATTATCTCCATTTTACCAGTGAAGAAAAATAAACTGCCTTCCTTTATCAAACCGACATTCCAGCAACAGGGAACTATTTATGGTTCCTTGTATGTTCCATACTCTTACATACACTTCACCCATATCCGTCTACCTGAAGCCTAGCATCTTGAGGAAACCCTTCCTTAGCAGCCCCCACCTAAACTCCAGGCTGGGGCAGGATTCCTCTTCTGGGCTCCTCAGCCCTATTTTCACTCTGTCACAGCACTGATCCCCCTGTATTGTCCCTGTCTACCCCCTCCCCAGCCCCTCAGTGAGTTCCTTGAGGGTGGGGTCCTCTCTGAGGCTCAAGTTCCTAGCACAGGGTCTGGAAGGTATTAGTAACTATCGAGTACATAGACTCAGATAGGTTAAATGACTTGCCTAAGGTCACATGAGTAATAATTAAGGAACAGATAGTCAAACCCATGTCTATCCAACTCCAAAACACCTGCTCTTTACCGCTCCAATTGCTTTTGGCTGGCCTGCCTAACCCAACATCTTTCTTTTTTGCCCCCAAGGACTGAGGAGGAGAAGAAAGACTGGGTCCAGGTAACATTCAAAAAGGCTTTGTGGTAGGGGGCTGGAGGAGTATTAACAGGTCTCCTAGGGGTTGGCGGACTCTCCTCTAAAGCTCACATCTGACTAGAATGAGCCTGGACAACAAACTTGACCATCCTCATCTTACAGATAAGCCGACTGAGGTCCAGAGGTTAAGCAGAAACTCACAAATTCTTACTTTAGAGAGCTGGCTCCTCTGGGAGTGTAACCCCGTGAGTGAAGCCCTGTAAAACCCTAAGTCCAGACAGTAGCTAGGAAGGCCTTCTGGGGTTTTTCAGCCACTGATCCCCCTCTCCCATTTCACAAATATTAGAACTGAGACCTGGATTTGGGAAGAGGCTTGCTCAAGTGTATACACCTTGCAAGGGGCAGAGTTATGCCTAGAAGCAACTTTTCTGACTCCAGGCTAGGTTATAAGAAGGTGAGGTAAGGGTGGAAATAGGTGGGTTGTGAGGCGATCTGACCCCTCATTTCTTACACCGCCTCCCCAGGCCATCAACTCCACCCTCCTGAAGCATGAACAGACGCTGGAGACCTTCAAACTGTTGAACTCAACAAACAGGGAAGATGAAGACACACCCCCTCACTCTCCAGTAAGAGTCCCCACTCCCTTTCTCTACACTGGGACCCCTTCTAGGCCTCCAAGTCCCCACCGTACCTTGAGATGCTCCTCTCCTCGTCCCAGAGAATAAAGACCAGAGAGGCAGTGCATGGTTTCAGAAGCACAGTCTTCTGTTGGTAGGGCCGCAGAGAAATCACTAGGGAAATGGAGGCCCGGAAAGTAGAAGTGACTTGCCTTCAGTAGCAGTGAGGTAGGGACAGAGCCAGGAATCAGAGGCAGGTCTTCTGAATGCGTCTGCTGCCTCCCGGTGAGGATCCAAGCTTTGGGGAAGGGCAAGGGCTGGGTAGACTGGGCTGGGGAGTAGCTGTCTCTGACCTGGGACCTGGCCTTCTCTCCAGAACGTGGATCTTGGGAAACGGGCACCTACACCCATCCGAGAGAAGGAAGTTACCATGTGCATGCGCTGCCAGGAGCCCTTCAATTCCATCACCAAGCGCAGGCACCACTGCAAGGCCTGTGGGCATGTGAGTGTTGGGAGGCAGGGGCAGAGCTAGGGAGGGGACAGGCTGGCAGCCTGAAGGCCTGCTTTTGAGAGGGTACCCTCCAAATGAGAGGCTGAGTCCGCTGTGGGAGTTGGTGCACTGAAAGTGAAGGCCTGCTGGAATCAGGCTTCTCTTGCCAACCTGCCACTCCAGGTGGTTTGTGGGAAGTGCTCTGAATTCCGGGCCCGCCTCATCTATGACAACAACCGCTCCAACCGTGTGTGCACTGACTGCTACGTGGCCTTGCACGGGGTTCCTGGGAGCAGCCCAGCCTGCAGCCAGCATACACCCCAGCGCCGGAGGTCCATTCTAGAGGTAAGAGCCAGGCCCACAACCACTAACCCTCCCACACCGATCAATGGGCTCCAGCCACCTACCCAGTGTGATTGAGGCCTGGGCATTTCTGAAACCACAGGGTGCCGTGTTCATCCACTGAACATGTGACCCAGGCTTGGAGTGAGTAAAATGAATGCAAGAGTGAATGAAAGCCAGTAATTTTTATTTAAGTGCTTTAGACCTTTAATACTTATAGTAACTAATCTATCCATGCTATTACTATCCCTATTTTTTCAAATGAGGAAACTGAGGCCCAAGGAGGTTATTTGCCCAAGTTACACAGCCAGTGAGTGGCAGAGCTTGCATGTTTTTTAATTAACATATTATTTAATTACAAAGTAGAATATGTACACTAAAGAAAACTAGACAATATAAACAAAAATAATAAAAACACCCTATTTCTTCTACCCACTAGATTACCACTAACACCTATGCTTCCTAGGCACGTGCACATTTTGGGTTTTTTAACCAAATCAAGGTATTTGTCTTATTTAACACTTAAAATCACGCTTACTCTGTGCCAGGCATTATTCTAAGTGCTTTGCATCTATTAATTCATTTAATCCTTAAAACAGCTCTATATACTCTCCTTCCAAGTCGACATTTTCATCCAGAGTTGGGATTCTGAGCCAGACTGCCTTACCCATTCCCCTACCCCCTTAACCATGCTAGGTTGCGTCTTGTTGAGTGTAGAGAATGGATGTGTGATGTAAGATGAAAAAAGGTGAGGTGGAAATGCGTAAGTGACAAGGAATAAGTGGACTGGTGGAAGAATGAATGCCTGGGATTTAGATGTCCCTGCTGAGAGCTATATGTAACCCCTCCCACCAACTCTTAGAGGCAGCAGCCATGGCCTGACTCACTGGCGGGCATTGGGCAAATAATTCCTGCCACGTGAGCTTCAGGATCCTCTGAAGTATGGGCATAGCAATCCCTGCACTGAGGTGGTACCGAAGCCCAGAGGAGCCAGGCTAGGCCTTCTATCAAGATTCATGCTCCCCATGTCTCTAACCACAGAAACAGGCATCGGTGGCTGCGGAGAACAGCATCATCTGCAGCTTCCTGCACTACATGGAGAAGGGTGGGAAAGGCTGGCACAAGGCATGGTTTGTGGTCCCTGAGAACGAACCCTTGGTGCTGTACATCTATGGAGCCCCTCAGGTGTGCATCCTACTCCTTTGGGTCCTTTCAGCCACCTGGCAAAACCAGGCTTCCCCCGTCCCCTTCAGTCCTTGACCTCTCCTTGGCCATGGGGGATAGGGTGAGCCTATGTGGAAGTCAGAACCCCGACCCTTGTGAGACAAGGATTGTGGGCCACTGTATGTAGGGAAAGATGGGGTGAGTTGGGGGGCTAGCTTTCTGGAGGTAGTGGGAGTGGAGATGGGGCACTGCTAGGTCCAATTTGGAGTGGGGAAGAACATGCAGATGGTGGCAACAGCCTGGACAAAGGCCTGAAGACATTATTTGGTACATATATGCTAAAGAGTAGCCCAGCTGGTTTGGAGTACAGGAGCAAACAGGTATTAGAACCCACCCTGTGTCCAACCCCAGGTCAGACATTTTCCTGTTGCTATCAGCGGAGCCATGGAAGGTTCTTGAGCGAGGGGAGGGAAGGAGGGGCTTAGCAGATGCAAAACCAATGAGAAGCGCAGTCCCAAGGTGACCCCAGCTGTTCCTGTTCCCTAGGATGTGAAAGCCCAACGCAGCCTTCCCCTTATTGGCTTTGAGGTGGGGCCTCCTGAGGCAGGGGAGCGGCCTGACAGACGCCACGTCTTCAAGATCACCCAAAGCCACCTGAGCTGGTACTTCAGCCCCGAGACAGAGGAGCTGCAGCAGCGCTGGATGGCCGTACTTGGCCGGGCAGGCCGTGGGGACACGTTCTGCCCAGGGCCCACACTGTCTGAGGACAGGGAGGTGGAAGCAGCACCGGTGGCAGCTTCAGGAGCCACTGCTGGAGCCTCCGAAGCCCCCCAGACCCGAGACAAGACCTAGGGAGTTGGGGGGGAACTGGGGCCCCCTGCCCCACTAGCTGCCCATGTCCAATTGGGGGCCCCAACCCCCTCCCTCCCAGCTCAGTCAATACTTGAATTCCCATCATGGGCACTTTCAATCCAGAATGCTGGGTCTTGGGTTTTTTTAATTCATCTTTTCACAAAATGTGGGCTTTTAAAAGAAATATTCCTACAGTGATGTTAATTTTTTTAAACCCTGTCCCCAGGGAGGGTGGGAGCTGTTACTAGACCTGCCTGAATTAGGCCACCCCCCCACCCCGATCTCCTCAATACCCTACAGAGCCTGCCTCCACCCAATTACCCCCCAAAGCACCAGAGGCAGGAGACCTGGATTCAAGTGCCAGCTCTGCCATGGCCCTGGCCCACCCCTGCCCCCTCAACCAGTGTCTTCAAATGTATGATGCTACATGGGGTGGTGACCTCCTGCCTCTCCATGGCTTACGGCTTCTACCCAGTCCCAAGGCTACCCAGTACTTTATCGTCCAGACCCATGGCAGGGCCACCGGGCAGGACAGGGGAATGGGAGGGGGGTGGGAGAACAATGGATACTCTGTTTTGTTTTGTTTTTAAAGAAAATACAGTTTATTTCAGGCTTACAGAAACGTTCACAGCAGTGCTGTGCTCCATTCGTCCATCTATTTGTCCTAAGTACCAGGCTGCAAGGGTGGGCCCAGAAACTGCTCCCTTGCTGAGTTGTGAAGCTCAGTTCCCAGAAGGCTGATCCAAGGCTACTTAGAGGTCAAGCCACAGATTAAACAATAAGGTATTGAGATCTTAAACCTCATACCTGGGATGGGATGGGATGGGATGGGATGGGATGAAGAGTTTAGAAAGAGGTTGGAGGAGACAGAAAACAAAGCCCAGGTCCCCCAAGTTGACCACCCTGCCAAGGTCTTAAGACTTCCTGAAGGAACCCAGCGCTGGAGACTGGACTACAAATAGGGAGTGTTTCCGGGAGGCTTCAATTTCTGGGCAGAAGTACAGAGCTACTCTGTGTGTGTGTACAGGTGGGGGGCGAGAGGAGTGGGAGAGGTAGCACAGCTACTTTCATTCATTCCATCAAGTAATCTCTCCCCCAGTTGCCTGTTCATCATCTCAGCCTTCCTGACCCAGCACAAGTATTGGTTCTGCTGGTCTGCTCCCTTCACGAATCCACCTGCCCAGCATCAACCAGCATTTAGTCTCTCCTCCAGCCATACCCACACCCACTCATCCTCCCCTCTTCATACTGACTGCACCCAAGAAGCACTGTGCTGGGAAACCAGGCCTCATCACTCAGACTGTAACTTAAGGCCCAAGGGGATGTGGTGAACCAGGTCCCGCCACCCCAAGACCAAGGTCCCTAAGGCTCTTCTTCCCTTGGAGGGAGCTGGATGGGAATAGGGAGAGGGTGGAGATGGGATAACCAGTTCAGAGGTTCACAACCCTTGAAAGCGAATCTCAAAACCACCAACAAGGGCCCAATCCATTTCCAGCCCCACTCATTTCTTTCTCCGAACAATGGTCCAGCCATCCTCCACTATATCCTCTTCCTTAATAGTCTGGGAGTCTGGAACAGAGGGTTGAAACTGGGGGCAGACTCCATCAGTAGCTGCCCCATCATTTGTAGCTGTGACCTGGAGGAGAAATACAAGAGAGCTAAATGCAACACCTTGCTGTGGTGGTTGGACACCCAGGCTCTCCTCCCAACTTTGCAAGGACTGGCTATGTGACAGGAAAGTGCCCAGCCCTGTCTGGATAATACCACCACCACCCACCCACCCCCATCTCTTCCCTGTAAAGCTAGCTGATCTCCAAAAAATTTGAAAATATCTGTATCTCCCTGCCAAAGGGGCAGCCCTTCACCTCCATCTCCTCCACGCTGTCTGCATCATCCTTATATGTCTCGCTGGCTGCCGTAAGTGCAGTGGCTCTAACCTTGTACTTTCTTCGGGTGAAGTGGGAGGCCATCTCCTTCAGAGCGGCCCCATCACCCCTCTGGAAGTACTGGAACATGGTCTGCAGCTGCTGGCTCACCTATCAAGAAAACATTCAACCAGCTTGGATTTTCTAGAGAACCTACAATACAACCAGCCCGTGTTTGCAGCAAATGTGGGGAGGGGTTTAGCATTTTCCAGAAAACAGGGCTCTTTTCTTACCAAAGGAGTTCACCAATGAAGGAACTACATATGAATGGTTCAGGTAAGGGCCTAAAGCTTTGAAAGAGGGCCTCCTAGCAGGGAAGGCACTAGAACTAGCTTTGAAAGCTACAAGATGTAAAAGGGAAGGCAATCCCAGCAGGGGGAGTGATGTTAACCAGAGCAGGGGTGGAAATGTGCCTGGCCCAAACTGCCCTTAGGATGGGTGTGAGGAACATACCAGGCTAAGAATCATGTATGGAAAGAAATAGAAGAGGCAGGATTTGGAAAGGCCTAGGAAGACTAAACTTTTTTCCATTAGGCAATAGGGAGTCATAAAAGGTTTTTGTGCAAGACTTAAGAAAAGAATGGTTAGAGCCAAGAGTCTTGGCCTAAAATAGACACTTAGGGAGAAGAAAGACTGCAGGTAGGGAGATGGCAGTTGTGTCCACGATATGCTCACCTGGGGAAGACTCCCATCCTCCACAACTGTATTAAACTCGTTCGACATGAGCTCACCAAGGAAGTCCTCCACCTCATCTAGCTCCAAGTCAGCTAAGTAGGAAAGGATAGGAACCCTTTGGTCAAAGACAAGCCAACTTCATCACTCCTGCCTACTACTCTTCAATACCTACTTGCTGGGTCCATATCTGGTTGGTGGGTAAAGGTCCAAACAGTGAGCCTTTTATTCGCTGCAGTGCTCTGCATTCCAGGTTTTAACATCATTTTTTTTTAAATGGAGAGACCCTTCACAACTGTTTCTCCACTGATACAGGAGGCCACAGACTAACAGGATAGGTAAGAAGAAATGGATATAAGTACTTGCAATGATGAAATCATCATAGCCTTGACATCAACACCCTATTGTGTGACTTTGGCTAAGCCCTCCTCTCTGGGCTTCAGTTAACTTTATTGGTTCATTCTCTTCTGAATTAGAGAATTACTCAAGAAAGTCTTCCACAAAGCTCCTTACACTCTCTTCCCTCTGGGAGAGCTCATTCACCCCCTTGGCTTTCCCTATCATTCTAACCTAATAACCCCTAAATCTGTCTCCAACCCAAACTATGTTCCACTTGTCTCACAGGTGCCTCAGACCCCCCCATATCCAAAGCCAGACTCACCCTCCAAACCTACTTCTCATCCCAGGGTTCCTCTGTTCTGTGAAAGGCACTTAATCCACCCAGTGACTCAAACCAGAAACTTGCCTCCTTTTCCTTTCCCCTCTACAGCCATACAACCTCCAAGGCCCTAATCCACCCCTTCTTTTCCATGACTATCACCACTGCCCTAGTTTGGGTCTCATTATTTTCTAGACCAGGAGTCAGCAAACTGGCTCACGAGCCACAGGCTGTGAAGTAAAAATGAAAATAAAACTATCATAGTTTCATTTATAAGACTTTTCAAGAATATTATTCACATAATGATGATTATGTAAAAATACATTTATGGATCTCGAATAATTTTTAAATTGTTGTGAGGGACAGGATTGGCTCTTTGAGACAGAACGTACCCAAAGAGCCGCATGTGGCTCACGAGCCGCAGTTTGTCGACCCCTGTTCTAGACAGAAACAGCCTTAGTCATTCTCTCTCCTGTCCATGCTCCATACTGATTACTTTCTGAACTTCCCAACCAGCAAATCCTACCATTTTGCTCACCTTAGGACCTCCCCAAGGATTTTTCTCACCTGCAGTGTTTCATATTCTGCTTTTGGGAAATAACTGTCCTGCTGAGTTTTAAAGGAAATCTATCCATAGAAAGCTAATGGAAAACAAAGGTGAACAGGCTTTTCTAGTGGTTTCTATCCCTATCCAAGCCTTTACTATGTTAAGGATTATTGTGACTCTTAGGTAATAGCTGAAGAAAAGAGCTTTGCTTACATAATTTAACTAGAGAAGTGTTTTCTTTACCAAACCTCTAACAAAACTAAGTCTTTCATAGCATCCATTTTGACAAATGCTGGCCTAAAGGACAAAATCAAAGGCATGTAAGGCCTTACACGTCTTACCTTTTTCCAGGAGCCTCCTCACCCCCTAGCATCATTCTCTACCACTCCTGCCCTCCACACACCCACAAGGACACATACATCCTTCCTTACTCCAATATGGAGCACACTACCTCTTTACAAATATATGACACAATCTCCTCATACCACAGAATTTGAGTGTTGCTCTCCCTACCCACACCTAGTTAACTCCTCATGCCTTAGGACTCAGCCCAATCACCACCTCCCCTAACAATTTCCAAAAGAAGCCTCCTCCCCAGTCTGTTACCCAAGCTCCTCTTTATTAGAAAACCTATCACCCTGTGTGTAGATGCCTATTTACTTATCTGGATCCTCCATTAGATTGTAAACTTCCTTGAGAGAAAGGTCTCTGCCTAATGTCATCTCCAAAACAAAAAAACTGAAGAATTTTGTCAAAATCATACTGGCAAGAGGCCGTGTGCTGGGCCCCTTATTCTTATATGACCCTCAAGACACATCAAAGGTGTAGATCTTTGCTGTTCAAATAGCCAAATGTCGTTATTGAGCACTTAAAATGTGGCTAGGCCAAACTGAGATTTGTTAAACTGTAAAATACCCACCAGGTTTTGAAAACCTAATGGTAAAAAGGATCTAAAACATCTCATTAATGTTTTATACTGATCACATGTTGAAATATTTCAGATATATTGAGCTGAATAACATTAATTTCATCTGCTTTTTACTTTATGAAAGTGGCTGCTGAAAAATTTTAAGGTATATGATGTGACTCACATTATATTTCTATTTGACACAGCTGGGGTGGATACTTTTATAACCATTTATAAGACATTAGGAAACTGAGTCTCAAGAAGGTAAAATGACTCGTCCAGAGTGATACAATGAGTCAATGGCACAAGCCTGTAAGGCATGTGAACTCAGAATTCTGACTCCAAAGCTTGTCTTCACTCCACCTCACCCTCAGTCAGGTACCAGCCCTCAATTGCGCAAAAGGAAGTGCGGGCTCTCCACTGTGGGCCTCCTTCTCGCCCCCTCCACACTCTCCAACACACAGGTTGCATCGCCTCATATGCACTCACCATTGCGGAAGAAGTACTCCTCCACGGCACCTCCCAGCCACTCGGCCTTCTCCCGGCTGTGCACGCCCCCGAAGCTATTCTCCACAGCGATCTGTGAACACAGACCCAAGTCCACCACGTCAGCCCGGGAACCGGCCTGGGGTGGCGTAGGGATTCGCCGGTTATGCTGCCCAGCCGAGCCGCAGGCACCTCGCCCGAGCAACTCCTATTGTGCCCCAGGCCCTAACCTTTATCCCGGCCCCGGCTCCACTCACCTGCAAGGCCGGCCAGGCCTCCAGCGCCGCGCGAACGCCAGCTCCGAAGAGCGCCCGCGAATCCTCCCCAGAGCCTGCCATTTTCTGGCCGCGAACCACGTGATGCCCAAATGACTCAATCTCACTGCAGCACGGCCCAGGCAGAATGAGCCAAAAGCCAAGCCTGAGAACACAGATTCGCATTTCCGCTGACCTGCAAAAAAGACTAGAGCAGTAGAAGTCTGTCAGAGCAATGGATGACACCACCACTGTTTCTCGCATGCAATAATTAAGTGAAAGGAAACCAGAAGTGGAGGACGCGTGGGGCTCTGTGGCCGTGGGTAATGGGTGCTGATACTGCACAGGAAAGATGTGGGAAACTTAACGATACAAATTCCAGTCCCTGGGACAGAAGAATCAATCTCTGGGAGCATAGCCTAAAAATCTGCATTTGATGGTTGCCAAAGGGGAGGTGGGGTTCGGGAGCTGGGTGCAAAAGGCAAAGGGATTAAGGAGTACAAATTGGTGGTTACATAGTAGTCACAGTGATGTAAAGTACAGCATAGAGAATACAACCAATACTGTTGCAATAACTATGTATAGGGCCAGGTGGGCAATAGACTAACCAGGGGATCACTGCATAAAATATACCAATACCTAACCACTACATTGTACACCTGAAACTAATATAAAATAGTGTTGAATGTGAACTATAACTAAAAAATAAATTTTTAAAAATTAAAAAAAAAATAAAGCATCCTAACAGCTGTAGAATGCTGCCTCCAACAACAGCATAATACACATTTTTTTCTAAAGTGTTCAAGAAACTTTCTCCAGGACAGACCATATGCTAAGTCGCAAAGCAGGCCTCAATAGATTTAAAAGGATTGAAATCATACAAAGTACATTTTCCTACCACAATAGAGTGAAGAAAGAAATCAATAACAAAAAGAAATTTGTGAAAATCACAAATATGTGGAAATTTACGCACTTCTAAATAACAAAAGGGTCAAAGAAAAGAAAATCACTAGGAAAATTAGAAAGCATCTTTTTTTTTTTAAAGATTTTTTTTTAATTGGGGGGATGGGAACAGCACTGGGGAATTGGGGGAAGGGGAACAGACAAGTTGCTGTCGTTTTGTTCTTCAGTCTGGCTGTGGAGGACGTTGCTTCACTGGCCCAAGTTGGCACCATCATTGCGCTCTTCCCGGGCGAGGCACATCAGTCGCCGGCCTCTGGACGGCCACTCACAGTGGCTGCTGGCCGCTCACGCTGGCTGCTGGCTGCTGGCTACATACAGTAGCCCATGGCAACCCACTGCCACAGGGGCTGCAGCCCATGCCGTCGCGGCGACTCCCGGCAGCCCAGCTCCAGGTTGAGCTG